TATAATAAATCTTAGAAAATCTGCACCAAAAATTCAAAACTTCAAGGATATTATTATTTCAGAGTATTACCACTCAAAAATCTAACAAATGTAATTGATGCGATGTACCAACAAACGAACTAAGTTTCACACTGCAAACTTTGAATAGAAACTGATAACATATTCAACCGTAAAACCAAAAATAATAATAATAAATAAATAAATTCAAAACCAAAAAAAAAATAAGAATAAATAAAAAAATTCAAGAATTCAAAACGAATCAAAAATTAATCCATTAAGATAAATGCAGGATATCTGGTGAAGATTTCCAAAAATTCTACAACCAATATCAAAATAGTTATTATTTCTGAGCGTGTTTACTAAAAAAAAAACGAAAATAAACAGAAATGTTATTGCAAAAAAAAATAATATGTATGTTATGTATTTGTATGTATATATATGCAGGCAATAAAAACATGGATTAGATTAAAGTAATATAAATAAATGAGGGAATGTTTAAATAGGAATATAAACAAGAAAAAAAAAGATAAAAAGGTATTGAAAACTTCAGGTATTAAAATTTAGCTTGTCTAAAAGTTCGGCACTTTATTTGTTCTTCTCTGTGTAAAATATTTTTTTTTTTTTTTTTTTAAGGAAACAAAATCGATGGATCTGTTTGATTGGTGTGTGTGGTGTTGCGCCGCGGAGGCTATAGCGGGAGTAATAAGTCCGTACGTCCCATGTCCGAAGTCGAGTCAACTACTCCCCCTGTTTAACGTATTAGTGTGGCACTACATACCTAGTGACGGATCCGTAACCCCATGTGAAGATCCGCTGTAAGCCTCAATCGCTAGCAATGCTGGATTGCCAGTGGCGCAGCTTGAACAGCAGTCCTCGCACAAACAAAAAAATAACTTCTTAGTCTCCCCTAATGTGTGTTAGCCTCTGTCAAATCCCACTTAATCAAACACTGGAGTTTGCAGAAGGGCCTTTGACGGAGACTAAGCACAACCCCCCCAATTCCTCAATGCAACACAAACCGCTCACGACGGATCGACGCGATGTTGTTGCTGGGATACCCTAACACAGTCAAAAAAAAAAACAGGAAAATGAAGAAGATGGAACATTAAAGAATAGGGATTAAGATAAATTAAAGTTAGTTAAAAGAAAAAGGGTACAAAAATGGTAAGCTGAAAGATTGCTGGTCTATTACGTTGGGCGCCATTGTAGTGTAACAGTAGGTTTGTGGCACGGTCGAGTGGCACATCGGCATGCTGGTGGTTCCTGGCAGAGCTCATCGGTTGGGGTGGGTCTTTGCACACTCGCCTTGCCTACGCTACACTAACAAATAAAGTTCATGCCGAATAATTTATAAAGGAATACGCAAAAAAAGATTAAAAAAACTCGATGACAGAAAGATAGCAGAAAACGCAAGGTCCAGTGCTGTCAGGCGGAGTCTACCCACCCTCTTCGACGTCCAGTCGACGCGAAACCATGGGCGTTGTGTTGACTCCTCTGACCTTACAACGCCCCCCTTAACCTGACT